TGCTATTACATGCAATAGGTGATCTTTAAGGTTATTCTGGCTTTTTGGAGGATTTTTCACCAGTAAAACATGAACCTCAGTCTTGATAAATATCAAAACAAAACTACCAGAGATTATTTCCCCCTTGAGTAGCAATCAGGTGTGGAATTTGAGGTTGAAACATAGAGAAGACATAAACAAAAAACCAAAAATGCCCTTTTTTTTCTCCTTTTATTTTTGTTTGTTTGGTTTTGGTTTTGTTTTTAAATTTTATTTTATTTTATTTTTAATATCTGCAATTGAAAAAGATATATTCTTAGTAGTTTTCATGTGTAAGTGCACACATCAGAATTACTGGAGTGCACAATGCTCTCATCAGTCCTGTTTGAAAGACTTTCTTGTCCTGCAAAGCATAATCCTGGTACCCCTGAATATTAACTGATGCTGGCTAATCAGCCCAGGTTTGCTCTCTTGACTGTCTGTCATTGACTTACAAGGCTTTTCTAAGTAGATCAGTCTGCTTTGTAGCATAGCAAAACTCACACAGAAATACCAGGGAGCCCTAAAACTGGAGGCAGAAGAGCATTTAGCAATAGTAACACCTTCATGTGCCTAATGGCAATGCTTGTATCATGTTTCAACTCAAAACAGTTAAACAATATACCCTGTATATTTACTATAAAAAATATACTATATATTTACCATAAACAATATACCCTGTATATTTACTATAAAAAAGATCAGCTGATAGATGGTTGACCATGATTGATAGTTGTGGTCATTGTCATTCACCTCAGGTAGAAATTTCTCTTTGTTAACCTTTAGGGAACGTATTACTTCAACATCTGAAGCACCACGTGGCTAAAGCTGATGTGTCAGTGCTCCTTTGGAACAGTATCTGCTGGGGACATACAATGTTCTGGTAGTCTGATAAGAAAGGCATTGTAAGAAAGGCAGGCTGCAAACTCCTGTAGGATATCCCCTCAGAGTCACTGGAATAGTTAGTACTGAACAGGAAGAAAGCATACCTGGAAAGAGTGGTTCCCAAAATTTCTGTGACTGTGTGATACCTTCTCTTTGAGGCCATGCCAAGTGTTATTTCCAGTCTGTGTCTGCAGTAGGGTGCGTATTGGGAAGGCAAAACCATAGTGGCACTTCTTGAAAGCTGTTATGCCTCATTGCTGTTTTTCATCTGTTCACAGTGTATATGCATCTGCTCAGAAGCTGACTGCTGTACAGGAAAAGGCTGTTTATACCTGATTTAACCCTTCCATGTAAGGCACTACAGATAGACAGAGGTCAGTGCCGTGTTTGCTTCTCCTTGCACTGAAAAAGTAAATGGGTCATAATTCTGGTTCCATATGACAATTGGCAATTAGATATTAGGCAATGTTTTGCAATATGAAATTAGTAGAATGACCCCAAGGGATCAAGAGCCAAGAGTAGGCGTCTGACACCCATTTTGTCTCCTTTTCATTTCCCTAGGAGACCAGGATTGTTTCAAGTGAATTTCTTATGCTTGTGGGTGTCAATTTGAGATTCGTTTAATTAAAGGGAGCTTTGCTGTTGAATTCCTCCTGTGTCACCAGCATCTTTTTCTTCTAAGTTAGATTTCGTGAACAGAGAGTTTTGCACATTGTCTTGCAGCTTTCCTTGACATTCAGGGTACTTTGTGATAAAGAAGTGCTTGTGGCTATTTGGTATAAATTCATCAGCTGTTATATACTAGACCTTACAAATGAATGCTACATTCTGTTGCTGCATGTTTATTTTAATTATTTGCAATGCCTTCACACTTCCCTCTCCCAGCTTAGAAATGGATATGATTGCAGCATGGCTGGCTGTTGGTAAGAGGGACAAAGAGGGCAGAAGAATGACATGCAGAAGCTCTGTTTAGTCAGTGGCTGGCAGAATTAATTCTGAAAGAAATTACTGTGCCGAGGAAATTTGTGTAGCCCCATCACAAATTGTAGTCATTCAGCTCATACTGGATTCGACAAACGTATAGTTCAGTGGTTCTTTGGAAATAATAAAAGATCAATTATTGTGCTGGGGTGTAAAAAGCTATGCCAAATTTCAGACCAAAAAACAGGAAGCTGTGTTATGAATTGCCTTGAGAAATAAAAGATTTCCTTTCTTCTTCACATCATGAGCAAGTGCATCACCTTCATCCAGGGCAGAGATAAAATTCCAATCCATATGGATTTTGTAGTGCCTTTGGGCTGGATAGTTTGACCACCTCAATAGAGAGGCTACTAGCAGCTCTTAAATTCTTTCACTTGGAATGCCATCCCTGTGGCCTCCTCTTTCACAAACCTGCAAGGGGCTGGGGCTGCCAGGCTGGCCCATGAATTCAAGATGATGCTTTCACTGCAGTGGGTTGTTGCAGTGCTATGTGTCCAGGAGCAAACTGAGTGGAATAGGTGTAGTAATTATCTTTTGCTGTGTGGAAAATGTGATATGTTTGGTGAAAAGCAATAGACTGCCAAGATCTCTCTATTTATTCCCCCTCTAAACCTGTTTTGGTTTTTTTTCCTCATATATCTGTGATAATTGTCTCAGCAACCCTCAAAAAACCTCATGTGTCTTGAGCTGAGTGGTTTGCCAGGGAAAATTATAGCTGACAATCCCATAATTCAGCATAGTAGATGGGTGAACATGGGAGGGGGTTGCTTGTTCTCTGGTATTTTTAGAAAGTGGCAGGTAAGGATTACAGTGTCTGTGCTCATGGTGTAGTGGGGAATATGACTTTGTAAGAGTTAGGCAGTGCAAATGATAAGGTTTCATGGGATGGAAAACAATTCTGCCCTATTCAGGAGGGGAAACATCTTCTTACTCCCACCCTGGGTAGGCAAATCTGTCTTCCCTTCTACCCTTTTAAGAAAGAATCCGTCTTTTGTGTGTCCAAACTTATTGCTGAGGCATCCCATTAAGCGAGTCACCACATCTTCCTGTTACTTTGTGGTGTCCTATCAATACTTAATTTTGCCCACCTTTCCTGCCTCAATCAGGTCCCAGAAACTACCTCCACCCTCCCGCCCACAAGGTTTTTAGCACCCAGGCGACACACATACCGATCCCCTGTGCTGGGGCTGATGGCAGCTCTTCAGAGACACTGCCTTGTGCCAGGTGCATCAGCGCCCGCCCATCCAGCTCTCCAGTATATGCCACCCTAGGGATCATGTGTTAGCTGGGCAAGCCACTCGAGGAAGAGACTAGTAATGAGAACGGAAGGAGTGGTAGCTAAACAGAAACCGGTGAGTAAAGCTGTTTTACAAACGATAAAACACTGTGCCCAGGGGAGCCTGGAACTGGAGCCTTTTGGTGGGGCAGGTGAGAAAATAGTGGTTGATGGCGTACCTGGCAGCAGCAGCATGAGGGGAGAGTGAGGGGCTTGAGGTTGCCATTGAGAGAACGAGCAATGGGAAAGCAGAAAAAAACAAGACAAATCAGCAAGATTTTGTAGAAGATACAGAAAGCTCAGAAAGAAGCCAGAAAGGGGAGAGAAGGCAAAGAAGTTAAATAATGAGAAGAAGCAAAAGAAAAGTTAGACTGCTGAAAAAGATTGCAATATAGTTGCAAAGACCCGAAGGATGTCATTCAGCAGCAAATCTGAAGATACAAAAGCTACTTGACTCACTATAGGGCACAAGAAGCATGCCAGAGATTCATGTGAGCTTGAGAACACGTCAGAATCCTGCTTTTTGGTGCCTGGGCATGTGGTATAAACTAGAGGACTTAGAGGTGGTACAGCCCACTCTGACACCTCTGCTTCTGTTACTGACTGGAGTGTATTGGGTGCACTTTCTACAGAGGATCTTTGGGTCTGCTTTCATTTCCAAGAAAATCCAGTTTGTGTGTACTCAGACTGCTCCACAAACCAAACAATAGTACATGGGAATGGGGATATTTTAAAAGGACAGCCCCAGCTTTAGAAAAACACGCTAATGTAAGTATGTGCAAAGGGAAGATGCTTTGTGGACTAGCATATCACTGTCTTGGAAGTTTTGCTCATTCTATCAAAGTTAGTTAATTTGTTCTGTGAGAAGGTTGTAAACAAGCAGCTGGTGGGCTCCCCTTGAATTCTGGAGTTATTCACCTCTTCTGTTGTGCATCCAAAAAGGCAGGAGAGAGGTGGCTGTTAGGGTCTGAACTGTTTCCTAAGAAATACTGAATTAAATTATTGACAATTGATAGGATAGAAGGAGAAACTGGATTATCTATTGCATTTCAATTCTGTAGTTGAATAGATGAAAAGGTTTGAAAGGATGAAAGGCTTGTTACTTCACCACAGTGTATTTTGTAACCCTGTAATACAGGCTTTTTGGCTAATTTCTGGTAGAGCGATGGAGAGAGCAGGTTTATCATATTGTCAATCCCTGCCTGCTGAAACTTGCGTCTTCATTTCATGTGTGTTATTAAAAAATAAAATAAAAAAGCCTGACTTGCACCTCAAGCTTTAGTTTCATTCCTTTGATCAAATACCAAAATGAGGCAGTTATTTCCTCATGAAGTAGAAAGTCTGACTAAATAAGTCACCAATTTGCACAAATGTCAGTTGGAGAAGTATTTCATGTGTATTAAATGAGGTTTAGAAGAGAAGATTTTAGGCAGTCTGAAAACCACACCCACCTAGTTCTGTATTGTAATTTGTTGGCAGGACACCTTGTGAAAACTAATTGACACACTGAAAAGTTTTCTTATTGACAGTATCTAATTACCTAACATATATTATTACCTATCATGTTTTTTTTTTTTTGTTCTCCCCTGGTGAGTAAATGCTTATCAATTACAAGGAAGTGGGTGGAGTTAGGGTGGGATAAAGGGTAGAAATCACATTATCATTGAGAGTATCTGTGGTGTCAGGTTCAGAGAGCAGCAGCCTTCACCTAGACATAACTTTGGCTCTTAGAATGTGTAATTCTTATTTGGCTCTATCTCTGGAAGCTTGCTAGATTCTCCACTACGGATGAGCATATATTCTCAGAAAGGCAGCTGGTTGGCATTTTGGAAGAGTAAGCATGGAAGAAAATAGAGAGGGCCATGGTCTTGCAGAAAGCAAGATTTTGTCAATCTGGATGATTTTGTTTGTGGTGTTAGTTTTGTTGCCTTCGATGTTCCGAGTGTCATTGGGGATTTCTCATTTCTATGTGAATATTGTAATAAAAATATTAGAGGTAAGTTGAGAATTAGGCTCAAAAGGTATGTGTTTGCTACAGGACATGTTTAATAATAAAATCTGTACATTTTTTATAGAAGCCATAAAAGTCAGCAGAGAGAATTCCATTAACTTGGCTGTGTTGTTTGAAGCTTTGTTTTACATGATAGACTTTGAGCAGTGTCTTTAATGATATCTAGTTATGTGCTGGCTTACATATAATCTGCTGCTGGTTTGAGGTTTTCTTGGATTAAAATAGAGACTCCATGATCTATTCTAGTTCAGGCTGGTTAAAGTACTTCATGCAAGTAGCATACTCATGAAAAGTCAGATATAAAGAGGTATTAGTTTATGGGACTTGGTAAGTAATAAGAACATGTATTTTAGATGTGCATAAGATTCAGTGGTTTTATTTGGATTATTTTATTTACATGGTATTAATATTCTAGGTAAGAATATTCACTCTGTGTGTTGCTTCTTCCAGATGTGAATCTGGAGGATCAAGCAGTTACAAGTTCTGTTGTACGAGACTCGAGGAATCTGTGCAACCTTCTAAAAGTGTAATTTTTCTAGGGATGAACTGATCATGGCTAAGATCCTAATTCTGCTGCTATCAGTAAGAGGTTTCTGGGGGTTTTAATAAGCCATAATTCCATTTAGTTTTTCAAGTTTGACTTTTCGTATCCATCATTAGCCAGAAGTAGGTGCAGTGAATTCATCATACTGAACAGTGAAGGATTTCCATTTTCCAGTAGATTAACTTTGTGCTTCTGGCATAAACCTGCTTTCTGTGAATATACTTTCTACTTGTGGCAGAAAACACATTACTAGTATTATTGCTATTATTATTATTAAACTGTTGGAGTCATCTATTTGTGCAGCATAAAATGTCTGTAGCCATGTGATATAGTTAATATCATAACCATCTTACCTTGCCAATTCTGTCTTTTTTTCTGTCTTATAATTCTTCTGTCTCTTTTTGTTTGCTTGTTTGTGTTTGTTTGAGTGTTTGTTTTTTATTTTGTTTCATTTTAATGCTGATTAAGAGCTCTTGGGCAGGATCTGTCTTCAGCTGTATGAACAACATTTAGCATAGTGCACAGGTCTGCAAAGTTTAGGGTTACTTGCTTTTTCAGATACCAGTGTTAATGACAAATGACTGCCTGGAGTGGCTATGTGTAATATTGGCCTTTATACATCATATGTTTTTTTAATCAACTAGTGGTATGCTAATTAAATTCTTCTTGGTACCTTCTTCTTGGCACTCTTATACCAAATCTGAGAAGGTCTTTGGACAGGTCTTGCTGCTGCAGTTGCCAGACATTAAAATAACTTCTGTATTTTTCCCCCCACTCTGTGCACTTTCCAGCTTTGAGAGACATTTGACCCACTCAGTGTTTGCTTTATATAGGAAGGCACTTCTTTTGTGAAGCACATTAGATATTTCTCTTTCCACAGTTTTTGTAACAGGTTATAAGCATGACAATTTTGTGTTCACAATGTGGAGGATCAATTTATCAAAAAAGAAATAATTAAAAAGTTAATTGTTATGTAATCAGGTGAGCCTTTTATGTTTAGTTCCCTGTGGCCACAGCAGCTAATAACAGGAGCAGCACAACTCCATGCACTGCAGTTCAGACTGGCTTGTTTTGTGTTTTAGTTCAAAGTTGCTCCCTAATTGTTCGATGGGCAAAAAAGGAGTTTCCTCTGTTTTCATCTGATAGGTAATTCCAACTACTTTCTTTGAAGTATTGCTCAAATGCTTCTCGTTGTGCCAAAAGAGTAACTAAGAGCTATTTTGGGGGGAAATGGGAGGGAGAGAGGAGGGAGGGAATTTTAGGTCACCTTTGCTTGTGCTGTGGCCCACTAGGCTCTTTGCAGGGAAGAGTACGGCTGGGAAATGCTGGGTTAAAGCTTGTGCATGTAATTGCTGGGCCTATTCTCTGAGTCCTGGGGCTCATTCCTCAGAATATGGCCAAAATTGCAGCTTGGGATACAGTCAGCTTTAAAGCAGGCTTCTATGCACCGCTTGTTTGAGAAATTAACAACCTGACATTGAAAGCCCAGTGAAGGGTGGACTGGTTTCCAGCTGTGACATTATCTACCTGAGATATTGCTAATGGGGTAATGCATAGAGACAGACCATGTTTCCTGTTTTTATCCGGAATGGCGAAATAGGATGCCAAACCGGATAGCTAAGATGAAAATGCTAAGAGCAGATGCTTAGTCATATATTAGCACACTATGGATTATATTGCAGGAATATCAGTGCTTTAGGAAGTACCAAACAACTGGTTGATATTTCAGCAAAAAAATCCAACCTTGAGCACTATGACTGGATTCTCCATTATGTTGCATTTGATTTAGTCTGTTACGTAGACCTGCAAAATTAACAGAAAACTTCTCACTTGGAAACACTTTATATTTGTTTCTTACAGCTGTAGGTGGCAAATAGGGAGGCAGAGGGAAAACATGTTTTATTTTCCTCCATGTTTGTCAGCTTGAGAAAAATAAAAAAGTAGAGATTGAAATCGAGGACTTCAAAGTCAGAAAATATTTTTCAAAGAAAGCATATCTGTAGCCTTTACTGAATTTGCTGGGAGCAAAAAAAAAATGTGTTTTAGAATAAAGCTTAAGTTTTCAGATCTATTACTAAGCAATGAGTAATGGTGGCATATGATGAGATAAGTCAATTTGATTTCTTGACTTCACTGAAGTGTTTTAGCACTGTGAACAGTGACTGGAACAAATGGAAAAGATGTAATCATGTATGGAAATAATTTGTACCGTCTAGAAGTGATAAAGATGAATGTGGTTTGATTTCTGATAAGGTTACTTTTTCCCATATGCTTGTAAACTTCTATTTGTAAATAATGTGTTTTCTGTGAGTTTGTACTTGCTCGTCTATATCAGAGTTTGATGGAAATGACAATACTAGCGAAGCCGTTCTAGGGACGGTATTCCAGCTGTTCCAAAAGAAAATGCCTTTGCTCTCGCAGTCCTGTGGAGAGTCAAAGAAACATATTGAACAGCCGTAGCTCTATTTGCCAAGAATCTTCTGGAATTTTGAGTTCTGAACTTCTGTATGAAATTGGAGCATTGCTGTTTCTTGAGAAATACTCACATGTAGGAAAGACATCTAATACTTGTGAATAGTCTTTGAATTGATAGCTACATGGAGGTAGCTAATATGCTGTAAACTCCCGCTGGAGTATGGGCAGATGTTGCTGACACTTAAACTAGTGAAAGAAGCTCCCTGCCTTGCTTTCAAATACATGGCTATCCTAAGCTAGCCTCTGCAACAAAGCCCAAACAAATTACACCTGTGCTCCTGTTCCAAACAAATGTTTGTGACCCTTCTTAACCTATTTCATCAGCTCTCACTAAAGCAGGCAGGAGATTTGTGAGTCCTTTTCACAATCTGATGGTGGGCAGTCACATTCTCTCTGACATGCAATGTAATACTGAGATCATTTGATCTGGGTTCTTGGTTGTGATGTGAAAGGGGAAATGAGGCCAGCCAGAAAGGACTGTTGGATGAAAAGGTCCCAATTGCTCGATCTTAGATGGTGATTTTAGTTTGTGCTAAAAACCTACTGACCTTCTCTTTGCCATTGTATTGGAAGACTGTGGGGAGTAATTGCCCCAAAGCCTTTGTCACACATGAGAAAAGGATTGAGAAAAGCCGGTGTAATGAGTGACTAGAAAAACCTCTTGTAAGAATATGGGAGAAGAGGTAGTAAAATATGGGAAGAGATGAAAAACTGAATTATTACATAGTATAGAAAAATGGAGTACTTTAAATGGAAAAGGGAGGAAAAACTGCAAAACCCTCATAAAAAACACAAAAAGTGAGATTTCAGAAAATCAACGTTCCATATTGTATAGTTTTTCCTGTCAGGTACTATGAAGAAAGTAATTAATATAACCAAGTATTGGGCATTCTTATTTTGTTTAGAATGTAATTACAGGAAGCTCAAACAAATGGACTGTTGGAGTTAAGCTCTCAGGTCTTCAGTATTCCATCTGGGATCAACCATTGGATGTTTGGACTCCTTGTGTCCTCATCGCTTCAGAAATGGAAGTGAGGAAAGCACAGCAGCTGAGTTCTCGTTCAGTCAGCAAACTTAGGAATGAAGTTGCTACATTTAATACTCAAATTCTGTGTTAGTTGCAACATCTGGTTTTTTTTTTTTTTTTGTAAGGCATTTAAAACATCCTTTCATTACTGTTTTGCAACAAAGACCAGCATGACAGCTCTGTCTCAATGCTGTGCAATACAAAGGTGATCGCAAAGACTTATTTCATTTTTAAAAACAAATTATACGTACAGGTGCAACTGAATGCAGAACAACATAGTAGCTAGTCTGCTGAGTCAGTCCAGAGTTTGACCCAGACAGACAGTTTGACAGGCTTCAATTCAACTGCTCGATGAAAAGCTGAAGAGCTGGGTGGTTGTATGGTCAGATTCCCTCCTCACTCCTTGTTGCCTCAGTCTCCCATGCCAGTTCATGAGCTGGGAGGGTTTTGTGTTCCACAATAATTTTCATCCATGTTTTTTTTGTAACTGCTCCCATTTCAAACGATCTCTGGTGACATGTTCTGGACAATGAACTCACAACTTAACTGTGTTTTGTGGAAATATATCGCCTTTTTCTTGCTCATACACTCTGCCCAACACTTTTATATGATGAACCTCAGTTCTTGTATTAGAAGAGAAAACAGATAACTGTACCTTATACACTTGCCCTGTGCCAGTCCAGATTTTGTAGACCTCTGTCCCCTGCCATCTTGGCCAAGCTGACAAGCCCTGTGTAACTGTTTAGCCCTTGAAAGCTCCTTCTCTTCTGCCTTGTCCCCTCGTCTTTGTAGCCTTGACCATTTAGTTACAGCCACTTTTGTCTCACTCTTTCTCTGTTCTATGAGTCAAGACTTTATATTTTACTAGTAATCTTTATAAATTTTTGTTGGTTTTGACTTGTCTTACTCATTTAAATTAGTTAACATATATTTTGAGTCAGCTTGGTCAGTAATTATCACCCTTTTTCTATTTGGCAATCAAAAGCCAGCCTCCTTGAGGCATTCCAAATCCTCTAGGACAGTATGAGCAAGCTCATTTCTCGCAGTGCTTGCTGGCTGCCAGGTGCCTCTCTACGTAGGAGGACTCTGATAGGCAAGATAAGGGTGGTAGACAGGAGACAGGAAAGCAGAGAGTAAGGCAAAAAGGCTTTATTTGTCAAGCTCAGTGATTTTTTTATTTATTTTCCTCCCTCATGCCATACAAGCATCCTAAAAGAATATTGGGGAAGGGGTGAGAACCAGCAGTACATTATAAAGAGGTTAAATTTGCCACATGTCTGCCTTTACTGTCTTTTGCAACACTGCTGTACCTGTTCCGGATGTTCTTTCATTTCTCAGTGTGTGGGCTGCTGTTTTCATGACATCCCCTGGCTCCACAATTCTGACTCTTCATGTGTTGCAAAAGATTGAGACAGGTGATGTACCAGTTGACCTTTTCAAGAGAGTAATTGGGAAGTATAGTGAAGGGCTGTGGTATGGGATTTTTTTTTTTTAATTTCTTCTTTTTTGATTTTGTTTGTTTGTTTTATGGTGTTATAACAGATGGTTTACATGGAGTTTAAAATATCCCATCAAAGCCTATTCTGCTTTCACTTTTTTCTTTTCTTTTAAGATGGCTGGTAAGAAAAAGTCAACTAAGGGTAACTAAAATATCCTAATTACGCCTTGGCAAAGTATCCCTTTTTTTACTGACTTTAATGCTACAGAAGGAGCTGGTAGAGAGCATGCAAAACTTCAGGATGGCAAAAAAGCTAATTGATATTGTTGGCACATGCAACACATTGTAGTGTAGTGAAGACTATTTGAGATCAGCTTTGTGGTGACTTAAATGGCTGCACACATCAGTAAGAAGGAAATACACTTTAAGCAGGAGTTTATCCTGAAGCAGATGGATTATCCTTATCTGTTGTAGATGGGTAGCTTTAATAGCAGGTGAAGGCATAAGATGAGTGGGTTGTTGATTCTTTGATAATGAGCAGAGCCTACACTCAGGCATCCGGTGTCCTTTGTTAGGCCAGATATGTTGACATAAATACAGGAAGCTCTAGGACTCAACTAGAGCTACTATTTATATATGTATGATGAAAACATTCAAAACTATGAAAACTTGAAAAATTAGGTGTATTGGTATATTTGATTTGCTAATGGAGAGTTTTATGATGTTCTGTGCAGGGAGGAGAAACTTGGTTTAGCTCAAAAAGGTGAAGACAGGGAAGGGTGAAAACCCATTACCAAAGCTACTTCTTCAGAAATACCATGGATACAAAATGTTGCTGCCTCTGTTTTCTGTTAACAGAAATCACATTAATGCCCTAAAAATGAGGTAATCTCTTTTATTCTTTAAAATTAATTTTTTTAGATCTATTTTTTCAGCATCTCTCTGATGTCAGTGATAGTATTTTGCATAACCCTGTTGCCTGAAGCTAAGTGGAAAAGAGAGAGTTTTGGACCCATGGATCTCATAGTCTTTCAGGTAGTTCAGTAATTTGTTGAGCCTCCAGAAGAAAAACAACTGTGTCCTGAAAAGAAGTTTGAGCCAAACAATTTTTCCTGGAAATGGCGAAAGGTAGTCTATGTAACAAATGAAACAGGAGGTGTGCAGGACAGCCTTCAGGCTCACTTTGAAAAATGAAAATCTAAGACCGTGTAGGAGTAAAAGAGGCTCAGACAACTCACCTAAGGTAATTACAGAATGTCTAGAAATGATGAAATTAAAACCATCAACATCTACTTTTCTTGTTTTGGGAACAGTGGGCCACCCTGCAGATTGAGGAGGGAGTAAAAAAGCAGAAGGCGCTGGCACTTGAAAATTTAATCTCCACTGGTAAGATCTCTGGATGAAGGGGACACAGCACTATTCATCTTGTGAAAAGGCAACTATTTAAAAATCTTACTTAGGAAGGAGTTTGATGGGCAAATAACTGTTGAAGTTACAAAGCTACAGAAGGATGTTATAAGCAAGATAATCTGCAAATTATTGAGTCTTCTTGAATAAAAGGACCTAGAGACTAGTGTGGGTATAGAAAGACATTGCTGATAAGCATTTGGGAAGCTGTCCCTGTTTTCATGAGTATTTTGTTCTTTCTGACTCCATCAGCTCTCTCTTTACAAGACTGAATGAGTGTTCATTGCTCTTGACTTTGCTCTGCATGGATTCTCTTTTGTTTCTTTAACTCCTCGCATGCAAAAAACCCAGGGTCTCTCAAGTGAAGGAGTTACAGCATCCCATGGATCACAGTTAAATTTTGCATTCTTGTCTAGGCATGAGGATAAAATCTGAGTAATTTTTTCCCCCAGCTATTTTTCCTTTCTTCTTTGACCAGAGGGGAGTGGGTTAAGTTCTCATGGTAATCCTTTTACTTGTAGTGCCATTTTTAGTCATTAGTCGTGTAGACTGCTTAGTTTGTCAGCTAATAAGTTTTGGGTCTGATGATTTCCTGGATGTTGAAAGTTTGACTGAAGTGCAGCTGGAGGAAAGTTTTGTGATTCTGGTGGGGGGTAGTATATTGATTAAGAGAAATTAAGTGTATTTTGAGTAATGCGCATTTAATGTCATCCAATACACCCCCTCCAAAAAAAAACCCAAATAAACAAACAAACAAAAACAAACAAAAAACCCCACATAACAACCAAAAGCCAAAAAAACCAAAACAAAAACCCCAAACCAAACAAAAAAACCCCAAAAAACCCCCCACAAACAAACAAAAGAAAACAAAAACAGAAACGAAACCAGGAAAAAAAACCAAACCAAAACAAAAAACAAAAGGCAAACGAGAAGGCCAAGTGTTAGCTGGTATGAATCAAGACAATTTTAGTCACTTCAACCAGCCAGATAAGAATCTGGTCTCAGAGTGACCTCAGCAAACATACTGAAACTTGTTGTGTGGTTGTCCGATGGGGTGTAATTTTACAAATAGAAGAACATGAATGTGTTTTTATTCTTCCAGCACAATGTGTCTGGAAGAACAACATGCAGTGTTACACCATGCATGTTTTGGGGGTCGGGGGAAATCTAGACACTTCCAATTCCTTGTTAGTGAGGGGACTGTTAAAGGAGAAGGGATAGGGGGAGAAAGATGGTTCTGAAAAAAAATACAGAGGAAGGAGTTTGTTACAGCTGGAAAAAAGTAAAACTAATCAACAGCAACAAGAACAATAAGTATACAAGCACTGGCTGAATCTGAGTCAGGGCACCAGGAGGGATCTGCAACCTTGGCAGTGCATTGTTGACATTTCTAGGTGTGTGTACATATGTTGTTTGGTAAATGACAATGAAGTAGGTGTTGTGCTCAAGATTTTATTTGCAGCTTGATCTGAATGCTTTTCTCTTTCCTCAGCAATTTAGGGGGGGGTTATATGGCATAGGGTTAGAGAAGTAACTTGTGGAATTAAATGTTCAGTACATAAATGAGGCATAACAATGCAATTATGGTGCTTGAGTAGGAGGAAAGCTATTTCTAAAAAGCACGTGTATTTTACTCTCTTTGGAACCCATGTTGTTCATTTCACCGTGTGGAAGGAGGACTCATTTCCTCATGCAGGGATCATCCAGAGAGACGAAACCCCCATGGAAGAGGAGATTGCTGGCCGGTGCCAAGGGTGCTTCAGCCTTGCTGATGTTATGTACTTCTCCAAGAAGGGGTGTGAGGCAGTTGCAGAAGATGAAGTCACTCGACGGTTCTCCTCCGAGGAACTGGTGTCCTGGAACCTCCTCAGCAGAACCAATGCCAACTTGCACCGTGTCAGCTGGCAACTCACTGTTGTGTGGGTCATTGGGATCCTAATTCGGTATTGTCTCCTGCTGCCTTTTCGGTGAGCCAGATGTAATTCGCTGGGATCTGCTTTTCATGTTACTTTTCAGGGAAGTTGTGAAATAATGTGGCTTTTGTCTGTTTTCCAAGATGCCATCTAAACTCAAATATCCTTAAAAGAAAAAAAAGAGGTGCCAAAGATGTAAATTTCCCATGTTCCATATGTTTGATTAGTATTTAATTAATAGTAATTAGTAATTAATTTGTTTTTAAAATCCAGCAAAACTGTATAGGAATAAACTGGATATCTTTTTGTCGGGTAAAGTAACAGCTGTTTCAACTGAAAGGATCAGGCTCTACTTGCCTAAGAGACAGGGAGACTGTGTGCTGAACACTTGGGATTTGAAGCAAAGCCAGTGTTCATGGGGCATAGGGCTGAATGGAGGGAAAAAAAGAGACATCCACTTGGAATGTATTAAATGTTCAGCATTTTAAAATTGTCTATTAAGCAAACCCAACCTTTGTCATATTGACCAAACCACTACAAATATTCATGCATTCTTGCAAACAACAGGAGCTTTTAAAATTCCTTATTCTTTTGACGGGTGGGCAATATACTTATAACCTAGCTGAAGTGCATGGTGGAATTTTGTACCAGTCACATAGCCAAGCACATATACCTGCCTGTAAACTTAGATATACAGCTTAAGAAGACAACATCTGTGTAGAAATGGCTTCAATATACTGGTTGAGTGAGCCATTAGTAACCAACAGAATTTAATTTTCATCCTTTTAGAGTGGAAATACATACTGAAATATCTGGATAAGTTTTCAAAAATTACATTCTGAGACCCTTTTGGCCCTGAGAAATCTCACCTGCATAAAAGAACACCAGCCACTACTTGTTGTCCTCTTTGAACACCATGGCTTCTTCACCATGTGATACTTTCAGATCAGAGCATGGTGCTTTATGGAAGTTAGGCTCCAAGCAGCACAAGGTTTTGTAACCCGTGCAGGATTAATTGCGTGAAAACATGTGCTTGTATTGTCCCGTTGGCCTTTAGTGGTTTCTATTGCTAGTTAGATGCTATTATGGTGGAGGGAAGCATTGTGAAATGGATCAAAGGGCCAAATAAAATGTTTTTTCTTGCTTACTCTTCCAGTTTCGCTTCTTAGCATTTAATTAAGATTATTTTACTTTGTAGCGTCTGCTTGTCTGTTTTCAGCATCCTGTTGCTGGTGTTGGCCAGTATGGTAGTAGGACAGTTTCCAAATGGCAGGTAGGTGTTTGCTGAGGGCTCTACTGATTTCTTTTTAATTTCTTTAAGGATTTGAACTAGTAGTTGGAACACTCTGCTTGTAGCCAGAGGATTAATGCGGACTATCATGGGATGACTTTTTCTCTACTGTAAACTTACAGAGTGCTATGAGAGAGAGTATGGCAATGGTATCTGAAAGCAGACATGCAATGTAAGCCAGATAGATACTGCTGGAAGCATGTCTTAGAGAATAAAATAGAGTATGCTCTACCTGAGTCAGAACAGGGCAATTAAATCACCTGTCCTGAGCAATTCCATATTAATACTTTGAGATTGTGTCTTCTCACTGCAAGAAACTCGAATGTGATTCACCAGCTAGATACTGCTATATTAAATTTATGTTAGTGAATGAGAAGTAATCTATAAAACAAAACCCTATTATCTTCTCTGCTTTGAATCTGGTGGATTTAGAATAGATTACAGTAAGAGAGTGGATCAAGAATATCTCTGATACCAATGAGCTCCTTCTGTGTGGTATTGTTACTGCAGAGAATCCTCTTAGTATGGGCTTTGTAGTAACAGGTATTTGGAATAATCTGGAGAGTTTACATTGGAGTGTTCTATGGCTGACTATATAGAACTGGAAATGTATGTATGGCTTCATTTCTTTTAGAGTTAAAGGCTGGCTGAGCAACCAGGTTCAGATGATATGTGCCACACTAGGTGTCCGATGTCTGAGTGGTCTTGTTCATTTTCACAACAGGTAAGTGGTTCCAATCTGCTCTCAGTGGGTTGGTATTCATTCTTACAGTACTTAATGTCTCAAGTTTCAGAGAAGGATTCTTATTCCATTACTGCATGGATACTATGATGGCATAATTTATCCAAAAAGCTGTTTGGATCATCTAGACTCTGTCAGGATGTTTGCATGCCCTATTGTGTCTTCTGTTGTGTAGTGGCAGGGTATGTGTAGGTGAAGTAGTACTTGCATTCCTGGTTAAATAGGCACTTAGACATTTTTCAATGTTTGCCATGAACTTGTTTTAACCACATGCAAAAATATTGCCATAAAATGCTCATCTGTCCCAGTAACCAATTTGTTTAGTAACTAATTCTTTGTGCTCTCTCCTGAAGTAAGTTATGGGAGGTATTTTGGTAAATCTTTGTAGTGTCTTGCTTGCTTAATGGTATGCTTTATGTCATGGAGGCTTCTGAAATATCTTGTTTGTGCTTTAGAAAGAAAAGCAAAATCATGCTGCAGCGCCTTTGCTTTTAGAATTTTGGTGTCCAAATATTCTTTGATACATACCTCTGTGAATGGTAATATATGCAGCTAAAATGCATATCCAGGGAAATCTCATATTTTCAGCTAAAAGGAAACTGGTTTTGGTGAAATGCCAGAACTGCTGAAATGTGAAGGGACTCTCAAAAGTATGAGGGAAGATGACTTATCTGCTGCAATGTACTACCAGAAATTTTAACATATATGCTGTAATACTAGTATTTTAAAATGTTTTGTGTTCTCTCACTTCCTACGGATTTGCAGATAAGCCATGGGCCTGAAATGCTTTTGTCACTCAGTCTTGATTGTGCATGTATGCCTGCTGGATGGGTCATCTGATGGGGCCTGTAGTCTGGAGAATAAATGTTTAATAATTACCTTTATGGTTGTCATTGCAGGGAAAACAGACCACAGCAAGGAGGCATCTGTGTAGCCAACCACACATCTCCATTAGATGTCCTAATCCTGGTCAGCGATGGATGCTATTCCTTGGTATGAACAAGAGAGTTGGTAAATATCAGTAATGTTGAGATGCCTGTAGATGTGGTGTTGGGGAAGAGGGTAAACTAACTGGTCGAAAGAGGGGGATTTGATGGCATTCAAACTCGCATTTTGGACTGCAAGAAAGCGCATGCAGGCAAGTGTGTGTGCATTTATGACCAAGAGAATTGGTACAATTTGTGATTAAGCTTAGAAACAGATGCGTGTGTGCATTTGCGTAGTAACAAGTTTCTTTTGGTCTTGCAGGTTGGCCAGGCACACGGAGGGCTTATAGGACTCATTCAAAAGTCTTGCATGCGGACGGGTCAGCATGTCGTGTTTGAACGTTCGGAAATGAAAGACCGTCATCTGGTGAGGAAAAAGTAAGGTAGTGTGAGCTGTTTGCTTAATTGTCTGGTCAAGTCTAGTAATTGTGAGGTTCAAGCGTAAGCTGAGGCTGCTCTTACCCTGCATTTCTCCTTGGTGGGCAGCTGTAGGTTGTCATCAGTGTCAGGTTTGGAACTGCTCTGTCAGAGAAGGTGCAGGGTGTAGCAATCATCTTTAAGGTCCCTTCCAGCCCAAACTATTCTAATAATTCTACTCCATGTTTGATCATTTGCCACATAACCTCCAGGAATTTCCACATTGCTACAGTTGCCCTGTCTGCCACAGGCAGGACCCTATTCATTCAGTTTTGAGACTGTGATTTGGGATGTCAGGACTGAAAACAGAGTTCTATCTGCACTTCTGCTTCCCAGATCATGGCTTGTCCTGGTACATTTCCTCACCAGCTCTGAGCATCAAAGCTGGTTGTATCTGCTGTTATCACAATATGAAGGGAGAGTGATTGCAGCAAAGAAAAACCCCCATAACCAAGGTACCACCTAGCTGCTAGAAGCTGGAAGAGCACCTGGAGTAGTATCATAAAATTTTTACCTAATGCCTATGATGCTCTCAAGACATGCAATACTGATTCCTGGCAGAGATAACATGTTGGACTTGAAGGACATAAACAGGATTGACTCAGTATGACAGTTGTTATAGAATCAGGTGTTTACAGAGACTGTTCTTAGTCATTCTAAATCTTCTTGAAAAAGGGTGCAACGCAGCTAACATAAAGTATCTATGACAGTTTGTCCTTAGAAAATTGGAAAGGATTCCCTATGTTAGATCGTTCTCCTTTTTCAATTTTTTTTATTTGATGGTATCTGATATTTTGCTTTTGTTCTTTAATGGAAACTGGAGAGGAGCTGCATGCTCTTGAGTCATAGGAAAGATGGGTGTCTTGGAAAACAACAGATTTTGGTGTCAGTCATCTGCTTAGTGGTGATACATTTGTTTTTAAGTGATGCAGCTAATGTAGTAAGACAGCAACCTGTCACTTGACTAGATGTAGAGAATCATTAGATACATGTAAAACTGATGCTATGTACCTAGAAGGCATGAAAACTAGAAATATGGAATATACTTCAGTCAGGCAAGTTCGACTGTGTTCATAGCTGCAACCTGGGAAGTTATTTTCAGAGACTTCAAGTACCACCATTTTCTGGCTTCATGTTAACTAGGTTAAAATGGTAAAATGAAACTTCATACAGTTTTGTAAAAAATGTACCTCTGTAATTAGCAAGAGAGAGTTTCAGGCCTGTGTCTCACTATCACATGTCCCAGCTGAGGCTACTGCCTGGCAAAAGACAACAGGGCAAGGGCTTTTCTTGTCCTATGTAAGAGGTAATGGATGTTTAGATGCTTGGACAAATACAAATATGAAATATACAGTGAAATTTTATTTTCTCTCCACAGAATTAGAGAACACATTGCAGATAAGGCCAAATTACCCATTTTAATTTTCCCAGAAGGTAGGAAACAACTACGTTGATTTTATTGCTCTTCTCACTTCTTGCCACTGAGTGCAGTTTATTGTATCCAGTCTTTACAAGTGAGGTGTTTGTTTTTAGTTTGTAGAATTAATTAGCTCTTGTGAGATATTAAAAGTCAAGTTCTAGTATCTTACAACAGTTTTATGACAGTCTATTTGCTTTAGCATATAACATAGTGGAAGAGAGTACAGGCTCTGGGATTTTGTTCCAGAACTAAAGCTTACTTTCTCCTTTGGCAACTTAAGTCTCCTTAAGACAGTTTATGATTCATTTGCTGATAGTTTTCTCAGAATGGATTAAGCTCTTCATCTGTTTTAATTCTGACCAGGTACCTGCATTAACAACACATCAGTAATGATGTTTAAGAAGGGAAGCTTTGAGGTAGGAGGGACCATCCATCCAGTAGCAATCAAGGTAATGTAACTGCAGTTTTCCAAATATGGAAGGATTGTTTGCAAAAGCTTCTCGTGTCAGAGAAGATGTTCATGTGTAAACCTTATAAAGGGGCTTGTTTGGTGTGAATGAGGTACTGAATAAACCCTGAGAAAACAAAAACTTGATGGTTTGCAATGTTCAGTGCAGTATGGGAAATGTTTCATTGAGGATCTTTGCAACTGGTTAGGAGCGACCTGAAAAGTACAGTGGCCCTTGCCGTGTTGTGTGTTCAATTCTGCTTGCTCATTCTGTCCTAGGGCTCCTGGCTCTTGTGAGCTCTGAGGATAAAGGCACTTTGCTTAGCACTTCCAAGTCTTTCTGAGTAGCTTTAGCCAAGTTGCCCTAGATCTAGATATGTTAGTTACTTTTTCTGGAACTCTAACATTGCCTAATCTTAAGGAAATCATTAAAAGTGGTGTGAACATTTTTCATTAAACCTTCATAGTCAGCATATCTGTAGATGACAAGTCTTTACATTTTGAGTAAATCTCTTGTTACAGTTGTGTTTCAATGGGTCTGTTACAGTTTGAGGTCCTGCATGGCTTGTAAATGAAAAATGTTAGAAACTTATAATAAATGTTGGAGCTTTACTTTAAATTAACTGATTCTTTTAGGAGGTGTGAGTAGATTTACCCCTTTTTATTAAGTTGAACTGTGACTTTGTGGCTGAAAAAAAAGCAGCTTATGTGATTTAAACTAAGGTAGCAGATCATGCCCTTGTGCTTATTCTTCTTGTCTTCCAGTATGACCCCCGCTTTGGAGACGCCTTCTGGAACAGCACAAAGCATTCTATGATGACCTATACTTTCAATCTGTTGACCAGCTGGGCTATTGTCTGTAACGTATGGTACCTGCCACCGATGGTCCAAGAAGTACTTATGCTTTTCTAAGTTTTGAAAATGCTTTTAAAATGTTGTCTGTGTTACTATGCATAGTGTTTGTGAATTTTTATTGATAACTTAATGGACTAAGACCAGAAAGCAACACTACAGTCTTAAAATTGAGCATGGATTCATGTGGGTTAGTTATCTTCAAATAAAAACTAACCTTGAAAATATTCAGACATTCCTCCACTGTGCTCCCTATTGCTGCTAAAACCTTTACTTGGGTGCAGATGCAGTTGCTTTCTTCTGATCCTTGAGACTAGAAGAGACATAGGTTTATGCTGCAGGAGTCCTGCCCCTCAGTCTGGCATAGACCTCCTGTTTTTACTCTAGAAGGGATACATAGATTCAGGCCTTCACTCCATACAGGGTCACTTCTGCCTTCTGTGTCCCCCCCACTACCAGCATCTTCCCAACACCCTGTTCTCTGTAACAGCTTCCTCCCACCACCTTGTTTCTCAGCCCTGCAGCATATCCAGCTAATCCTTTGCCCAGCAGCTTTACCCCACAACTTGGCAGAGCCTCCCAGCCCACTACCCTATATACTACCCTGACACTGACAAAGTGCTCAAGGCTTTTTCTCTAGCAAAGCCCTAGTTTGGTATTGTCTACCATGGTCTTTCCTTAGCCCTAATTTTGGCAGGGAAGCTGCTGTAATGCATGTATCTTCAGTCCTCTGAAGTTTGGGCAGAGTCCTGTGAGCTCACAAAAATTTGAATGCACCAGGCCCAACCCTGTTCAAGAACCCTGTCTCCTGCAAGGGGGATCCTGTTGGTGTGTTCCCAGCTTCAGACTCATGCTGAAGTACTGGGAGTAGACACATCCCCTGCTCTGGCCAGACCTGTGACCTCATACTGTGTGTTGTTTGAGATTGCCCCAGAAACCAGAGCGCCTCCACTTAGCTCTTTTTGGCACTGACTGGTGGCAAACTGGGCAGCGTTCCCCAGGATCAGCTGGAACTGCCCTGCAAGTCACATCTGGCTTGTGGGTCTGGAAGTGCCTGCTGTCTGACAAAATGTCTTTAAGTGAGGCACAGAAAAAATGTTTATGTTGTAAAGCAAATAATTACTATATTTTTCAGGAAGAAGAAGATGCTGTTCACTTTGCCAACAGAGTCAAGGCTGCCATTGCTGCTCGGGGAGGAATGTCTGTGCTTCCTTGGTAAGAAGCAACACCGCTGAGATTGGGTTTAAAGCATTTTAAGGTGTTCTGTATTCTGAAACATTAGCCTGGAATCCTTTAAAACTTCTTCCAGATTTGCTTTGCTTGCACTGTAGTCCATCACCCTTAGTGACTAAATCCAGAAAATATTCCTTGAACCATTCCATTAGAATAAATAGAATAATATAGTATATAGAGAGAAATAGAGCTGACAGGTAGATCTAGCCAGCAGGCAGTGTTAGGTGAAAATGAATTATTTGACTGTTAAATGCTGGGTTAAGAAAGGGCATTGTTGTGTGGTAAGACTTGGCAGTACAGATCATTTAACATTGTTGTACAAAATCCAACATTAAAGAGTGGAAACTACGCGGTCTAAATATTGCAATGTTTTTCTGCCTTGACCCTGAAGTGAGCTCAAGGCTCTTTCTTTTCTGTATTTTTCAGGGATGGGGGACTAAAAAGGAAAAAGGTGAAAGAGTCTTTCAAGGAAGAGCAACAGAAAAAATATTGCCAGATAGTAATAGAAAATGGATCTGTGGGAAACGGAAATGTTTGTTAAACGGTATTTATTTTATCTCATTTTTCCATGACTTATCTCTACCAGAAAATAGACTGGTTTTTATAGGAAACCAAACATGTTTTCCTTCTGTCTCTGTAAGATATTTTGCATATGGCACAGCAGGGAAACCATAAAGAGATATCCTTATTTAATGCAAAAGACTCTAATTTTATAAATAGGAAAATATACAATCTACTAGTAAAATTCTCTCCGATGTTGAGTGAGAAAAATTGGCAATAAAATTACTTAGGCTTATTAAAACACCATTTTAAAACATTTGCAATACCTTGAGGACTTAAATGGTTACCTGTTAGCTTCTAACAAAACAACTCTGTAGTCCTAGCCTGCTGTCTCAGTGACTTGGACTAGCAGTGTTCCTGTCAGCCACAGTAACCATGTTGCTGTGGAGAGCTCCTCACATCAGGAGTTAGGCAGTTCACCAAAACATGTTTTCCAAATTGTATGTTGGAGAGGAAGTGTTGGATGTCAGAGGGGGAAAAAAAACACGTGCTGACTTTCCTCTCCATGTCACAAGACCAGGGACAGCAATGTAGAAAGTTTTCTATTCTGACAAAGAGCATAACAGTGTCCAGGGCAGCATGCCCCTGATGCCTGGGTGTGTGATGCTGAGGTAAATTAATCACAGCCAAGGACAGTGTCAAAGAAAATATATTGTGGTTTTAAATTACATTTTATCTTCTAGTTTTGTTGTGTCCCTTTCTGTGTCTCTTTGTATGTATTACCCAAATTAAAGAAAACATTTGATGTGACATCCATTGTCCTCTGTTATCATTATTTCTGGAGAACCACCTGCTTATGTTACCACTCAGTATGAAGGCTAAGGATTTGCTCTCTGACAAGCCCACCCTCCAGAAATAAGTAGAACAACTGCACATAAGAAGTATGAGATGGAAATATTTCCATCACTTACAGTATTTAGTGGTATAAAATATTTGCTCTCCTGGTAAGTAGCTCCCATATGGAAGGATCTGGCTTCTTAAATGATCTGAATAGCCCTAATGAAACACACACAGATAGGTGCTCTGTGACAGAGATGTTGGTAAGGACAGTTAATAAGGTTTACATGAGAGCCCATTGATGAAGAGATGAAGGATCTGTTGTGGTGATCACAAACACACCCTGCAGAGGCACAGATGCACAGATACAGCTTTGCCCAGCCCTGGAGAGTCTAGAAAACTAATATTCAGAGGAGGGGCTAACAGAGGTGATAACTGCCCTGAGGCTGCATGGCACAGAAGTGGCATGGAACTGAGCTCTCCTCTTCTGGGGCCAGGCTGGGCTTTGTTACAGGTATGTGAATCCTTTTGGTGGATCAGTCAGTCCAAATTTTGGTGTCATAGGTAAGCAGTAGAAGAAACTGCTCTTCTACAAAGCTTTTAGCCACTCAGGTAGGGAGAGTGCTAGCAGTATGTCTACAGAGGAGAATTGCCTCAGGCTCTCCTGCTGTGAAAGAGGGCTGTTGGCTCCTGAGTGTAGTAAGCTGTGCTTCCACGGCTGCTGAAGCTGCTGATTTATTTTCTAGGTATAAAAATGTGAAGAAATGTGGTAGACAATCCTGATAACTGTTAAATCTCTTCAGTGTGCCAGAGTTTAAAATTGAGAGATTTTCTTTCTGTGTGACTGCTGTCTGAGAGTCACTAACAGAGGCTGCAGTAAGACAAGTGTGGGGAGCATCCTTCCCACACTACTATGTGCTTTCTTCCTGCTCAAAGGTAAAAGGGGAAACTGAGTAAGCAAAAAAAAAAAGGGGGTAGAGACAGGAAAATATGGGGAGATAAGACTGTTGGAAGAGACATATTCTAATCTGGGCTCTGCTTCTGTAAGAAATTAGGAGATGATGTGCCTTTTTCCTCAGCCTGCTACACTTCCCCAGCTAAAAAAGAGAAGAGGAGCCTTTGAATCTGTGATCCTCATATCTATGACTCCAAGTCTTGTACAAGTATAGCTCAGACCCCTGAAGGTATGAGTATTACATGTCATCTGTGGGAGGATGGTGGGATTGTCAGTATTTCCTCTGCCATTTTTTGGCTGTCTTGACAAAAAAAGCTGAAAACTCTGTGAAGTAGGTACATACATATAGAATAGGGAAATGTAAAGCAAGTAATGAACACAAGAACTTCTTAATGATGAGTGAAGTGTGCTTTGTTAGCTGCTAAAAAATACCAGCCTAACTTGAAACAGAGACTATTTTGTCTTGTCCTGCTTTAAAGAAATGTTTGTGGTTTTTAGTGATGCTTTCTTTACCTACCGTCCACCTCCTCCATTCTTTTGAAATGCAAATGAAATACAGAATATATCAGCACTGGCCTTGGCAATTACTTTTACCTGAAATTGTATACTGCCCTTAGAGTGATAAGGTTATAGAGGAATTGATTACTATCCAAAAGGACACCACAGATAAGTGTGTCTTACACCTCCAGCAGGAGGGCATGGTAACAGTAAAATCATACCCTCTTGCTATGTGAGTGAGTCAGAGACAGAGAGTTGAACATAGCTGCTGTTTCTAACTTTCAGAGACATCACTGTTTGATCAACTGTGCGGATGGAAAACCAGATCTATTCAAAAAACTCCTCCTTTAGGTCCTTAATAAAACTGCAGCATGGTCAAGGCACAGTGCAGAATCTTTGTACACAGTGTGGGTTCTGGGGTGGCTCCGGACCTTAAGTCACTTGGGTGTTATCCTGTTTCAGGCTGGAGCTGTGTTCCCTATATTTAGAGTCCTGAAGCCTTGGACAAGTAAGGGCACCCTACAAAATCCCATAAAGGCTGGGTCACTGCGTGTAACATGCCTCTCCTTCCTTAGGCAGGCTTCCAAAATCACAGCTTGAGAAGGAGTCCTCTGAAAACATGTTTTTGAATGTTTGCATTGCTATTACCTAATTTTTCCTCAGTTGGGAGTAGAACTTGTAAAGGTGAATTATGTTTTGACCCTTTTAAACTAAATCTGCAGACTGAAATAGCTTCAACATCTGTCTCATTTCTGGCTTTTCATCTGTGGATTAAGAAGAGATTATTTGGATGTTACCCCTATTCATGTTTAAAGTATATTGTGCTGCTCTGCTGCAAGGGTAAAGTAACCTGAAACAGATTGTAATTATGCAGTGTTAAGCAGCGTAAGGTGAATTTCTGTGTAAATGACCACCATTGCCTTAATGTATTTGAGCCTATTTTTCAGGAAGGTTCTCTAAATTTCCTGGGCCTCCGGGAACGTATTTGACTCAAATACAAGATGGGACCAGGAGTTTTGAGGTTTCTTTTTATATATATTTACAAATAAATATTTTTTTCTGTCTATACACACACAGAGTATGTGTATAAAGGGATGACCAAGTGCCTTCTATCTATTAGGAGCACAGTGTGGACATGAGAAACATGAGTTACTTATAACAATAGAAATGTCGTGGATTATTAGAAGATGTAGTGTTAAGCAACTTGATGACCTCTTGTACTATGACAACTGAACAGTTGTTGGCTAAAATGTGTGATAATTTTTCACTGTAACGTACTTGCATGTTAACAACGATTGATGTAGCTCAGGTCCTTAATTCCCTTGGATCCAAATGCGCTTTTCTAAAGCTGTGTCTTACCTTTGGGAACGTCTGAAACGCCCATCTCTCTCCGACTTCTGCTGACCAGCTCTGCGTTACTGGGAAGCTCTTTTTCCCGGCTCAAGGTACGTTCCCGTGGCTGCACCACGAGCATTAGAAGAAATGGGCAACGGGGGCCATCTGGTGGCGTCCACTCAACTAGTAGCAAACTCCGCCTTGCACAACCTGCTCGCCCTAAATGCCGATAAATGAGCCTGTTATTTCTCCTACATTTCCAGGAAACCATGAAAACATAGAAATAATGCTGTGTACCCCCAGCATGGGATCTTTGATTACTGGTCGTGGTTTAATACCAGCAAAGCCTGTGCTTGTTCGAAGTTTCAGCAGCCTGTGTTGTGTGGGGTTTCCCCAGGTCATCTCTACCCTGTGACAAACCAAAGTCAGAACTACTTCTGTCCTTCAGTTCATTCAAAGTCAGGTATGAGTCTAACCCCTGGGCTTTTATTTGTATTTTAAAACTCAGTAGAGGCAACAAACCTGAAGGCAGTAGGACATTTGGATTTGCTGTGATGAGTTTCTTCTGTACCTTGCTGCAGTTTGTTCCTGATCTGAGACTGATGATGCTTTCAGAAGAAAACAAGTTTTCAGGATAATAAGGGAGATGTTCCGAACTTGTTTCCTACCAGCATGCATTTCCTTGAGCTGTAGTGAGAACAGCGAACAGCTAGTGCCAAATTTAACAAGCCTGCATTTCACTGAAACTCTTTCGTGTGCAGCTTGCCATGAACCAAACAAGGAAAGCAGCCTGGGCGGCTCCTCCCCTGGTGTTTGGTTTTAGCCTCAAGGAACATATTTTGGTTACACGTGCAGTCTGAGGCCTCATTTCAAGTAGGCCAATGGATTTAGGTCACAGATATGCTATGGGTGAGACCTCTGGGCTTTCTATCCTCTCTGTGGGATTTGGTTTTGGAAACGCTTGTGCTGAAGTGTTGTTCAGGCTCTTTTGAGCTTGTTTCCCAGCTGTGGCGCAGATTGTGGAGATGACCTGCAAGGGGTTCACAGGTTCATTTGGTTTTGGAAATGTAGACTTAGAAGTTAGTGGACATACAGTAGAGACAGAGGCCTTCCTGGCTCTTTGTCTTTTTATTGTTTTTGTTGTACACACAAGGAAGGACCCTAGTTTTGTAGCCATTTCTCCTCTCCTCTCCTCTCTTCCTCTATTTATTATTCTGTTTAACGATGGCTCCTCAATTAGTGTACCAGACTCCTCTGTGAGCAGAGTTCATCGTGATCAATTGTCATCAAGGCCAGCGTTTGGTACATCCAATCAATGATGTTCTATATAATGGCAGTGGTATTGACCGATTTCTAATTTTACAGTATGTTGAGCCCTGTTGAACTCTTTTAATATGATAATTGCTTTACTAATCAGTAGTCATGATTTGTGTGCAACAGCAGATTATTGACAGCAGTTGATATCCCTTGGTATTTCTGTTTGACTCTAGGAAAGATGCATGTGGTGAAAGGTGATTAATATCTAAACTGTGGATATTAAATAGAGTAATTCTGGGGGAAATACTATATTCTTGCATATCAAAATTTTAAGAAGTAGGTTATTAAATAATTTTGAAAGGTTTATTTCTTCTTTTTATAAGGGATAGTTATTAATAAGTACTTTTAAGTTTATACAGACAGCTGTTAAACGGCCTATTTTATAACTATGTGATAAGCACTCATTAGTTCATATGTTGAATCCTGTGTTTATTAATTATATAATAGGGATTTTTTTAAAAAATTGCTCATCGTATATGGCTATGAGCAGTCTACTCATCTAATTTATAACTTCACATAAGATCTAAGTATGTACACACAATCAATAAAATAATCTGTATGTTATACTTCAAATAACCACTCAATCTTGCATTTTATTAATGTAATTTTCTAAAATACACTTACAAGGTATTATAAGGAGGGATATCTATATAAAAATTCCATTTCTGTTAGAAAACTGAGGCTGATTTCTCTCCA